CTCGTGCAAGGACACTTTAGGCGCTTGAGTACTGCAGTACCAAGGGAATTTTGGCCTGCCCCTCAGGCCTTCCCCTGGCCGCCTACATGGAACATTGACGCCAACTTCTGGCACAGCATGGAAGCCTCTCCAACAGAGAAGTATCAAGCTGCCTGGAAACACATTGAGTCCAGGGCCGCCGATGCTTTGCCTTTCAAACCCCATAGGAATGCCTTTGGACGTGCTGCCACATTTGGTACCAAGAAAGCCTCCCGGGCCCAATGCCCTCAGGTCAAAGTTGCAAGAAAAGGGGATTTCCAGCCCCACTTTGTGGGTGCCTCATTTCGACATGCACAATGGATCCGCCAAGTGCGACGGCTGCAATCCTTTGTAAGGTCAGTGTCCCAGTCTGTTGCCAGCCCCTATGCATGCCAGGTGTGGGGGGCCATTCTCCGTGCACCGGGGTTCTTCCCTGACTTTGCGACATGGTGGGGTACCCATGAAAAGAAATGTTTTGGAGCCCCTGAGGTTATGCCCATGCTGCCTCCTTTGCAGAATACAGCTAAGGCGATTTTTGAAACAGTTGCGTTAGCAGTGCGAGACTTGGAGGCTGAACTGATGAAGTCCTCCCGCCAGTATGCCCGCCTGAGAAGATTGCATAATCCCAACCAGATTTTCCAAGACATTAAAAAGCCAGCCAGCCCAGGGGTTGATCTTTTTGTCAAGCCAATGCGCTCTCAGATTGTTAGGGTTGATCATGAATCATGTGCCATTGAACTTGAGCCGAGCCAAGAGTGGTTGTCTGACAGACCCTTCTTTTGTGGCGACATGCCTCTCCACATTATTCATGCGGAGGCGGACTGCTTGTGGGTTCAATCTCTGGAAGCTGTTTGCGTGGGGGCTTTTGTGTCTCAGACCAAATGCAGAGGCACCAAGGATGAACTGGCGAAAGCCTTTTTGGATGCATGGAAAGAAAAGTGGGAACGACACCGTGACGTTCCAAATGATCGCTGGAGCAACATTATTGGTTTTGCGCGTTGCCACCTGCCACGTTTGCAGATGGAATGGCCGTCCCTTGATCCAATTGCTTTGTCAAGAGGTATTGATGGAAAGAAGCGAACCACCTCTGGGGGTTTAGATGGGGTTAGCCTTGTTGATTTGAAAGGTTTGCCTCCTGCTGCACTTCAAATCTTCTGTGACATGTTTGATGAAGCTGAGACCTCTGGTATTTGGCCTAGGCAGCTGCTAGAGGGAAGGGTCGCATGCGTTGCCAAGTGCGCAGAGCCGACTGATGTGATGGATTTCCGCCCCATTTCCATATTGGGGCTTCTGTATCGGGTGTGGGGCACACACCATGCTCGTCGTGCGATTCGTGCCCTTGAATCAGTGTTGCCTGACACCTTGTATGGTAGTAGGCCAGCGCACTTTGCAGGCCAGGTTTGGTCACAGATGCTTTGGGTCATTGAGGACTCACATGCAAATGACATTCCCCTGGCAGGACTTGTTGCAGATTTGCAGAAAGCATTTAATTTTTTACCCCGGCTTGTGGTTTTTGAATCAGCAGCTCTGTTGGGAATCCCCTTCAAAGTTCTCACTGCTTGGGCGGGGGCGGTTGCTGGCCTCAGAAGAAGGTTCCAAATCCGAGATTGCCTGACTGATGCAGCTTCCAGCACAACAGGGTTTGCCGAGGGAGATGCCCTTTCATGTGTTGCCATGTTGATTGTTGACATTCTGTTTCATGGATGGTACTCATGCTTTTTTCCGCTGTGCCAGCCCATTAGTTATGTTGACGATTGGCAGGTTCTTTCCACCCAGCCTGAAGCCATGTCGGAGACCTTTAGATGCATGAGTGATTTCACTGACGCCATGGATCTCTTGATTGACCCCAGCAAGACTTTCACTTGGTCTACCACTGCAGCGGGAAGGGCTTCTCTGCGAGACCAGGGTTTCAAAACTGTGCATTGTTGCAAATCTCTAGGTGCACACATTCAAATCACGCGTCAACACACCAACATGACACAGGTTGAGAGAATTCAATCACTTGGGGAGTTGTGGCCTCGTCTCAAACTTTCTGCGAGCCCCTACCAGCAAAAGGTACGTGCCATTAAGCAAGCTGCTTGGCCGAAGGGCCTCCACGCCATTGCGGGAACCAGTGTTGGGGCACATCATTACCAGTCCCTTCGATCAGGAGCAGTTCGAGGACTGAATGCAGACTCTGCAGGATGCAATGCACATTTGCACTTATTGTGTTCTGACAGCTGCTTGGATCCTCAAGCATGGGCTATTTGGCATACCTTGCGATTTGTGCGTGACTGCGGCATTGACCAAGTGGTGATTGCAGCTTTGCGTGACTTGTGTCATGGTGACTCTGCCCTCCCGGCGAATGGTATCACTTCCACTTTGTTAAGTAGGATCCAAACCCTTGCTTGGCACGTTGATGTTGAGGGGAACCTTGTTGATGCGTTTGGCCAGTTTTCACTTTTTGACACCTCGCCAGAGGAGCTCCTGTGGAGGGTTGAATGGGCGTGGACTCAGGTGGTTGCTGCTGAAGTTTCCCACCGTCCAGGTCTTGCTGACTTTGCCGTTGTTGATGTCCCAGCCACACGCTTGTGGTTGCGACGCCTGAACGCTTCTGATCAGGCGCTGGCCAGAAGAATGCTGGATGGCACGCACATTACCCAAGATTCCAAACAATATTGCCAAGAAGCTGACACTGACCTGTGTCCTTACTGTGACTGTAGTGATTCTCGGTTCCATCGTTTTTGGCAGTGCGCTCAACACCAGTCATGCCGATTGCATGTTTCTGCGGAGGTCTGGAACCTGATACCCACCTTGCCTGAATGTGTGACCTCGTATGGCTGGTCCCTTTTGCCTACCACTAGTCAGGAATGGTACCAATACCTTGCTGCCATTGAGGTTGTCCCGGTCCCAATTTTAGGACTTGGTAAGGAGTGCCTTCACGTATTCACAGATGGCAGCTGTTTCAATCCTCAGTTTGGACCTGCTCGGTTTGCATCATGGGCAGTAGTTTTGGCCTCGGGTTTTGGAAGATGTCATAGTGAGATTCTTGAAAGTGGCCCACTGCCTGGCATCCGACAGACATCCATGAGAGCTGAGATTTATGCAGTCCACAGGGCCCTGCGTCTTGCGTTGGCCCATAATGCTGACATGATGATTTGGTGTGATTGTGCCGCGGTTGTCCGTAAGCTGCATAAGTTGCTTCAAGGTGGGGAAGTCCGGAGGAATTCCCCCAATTCAGATTTGTGGCGTACCATTTTTCATGATATTCAACACTTGCGAACCCAGGTTGGCATCACCAAAGTTGCAGCCCACCGCAAGATTGAATCAGCAGCCTCAGCCCTCGAGGAGTGGTGCTTTCGTCATAACCATTTCTCTGATCATGCTGCATGTCGTGCGAATCTTTTGCGCCCTCCGATGTTTTGGAAATTGCTTGATCGCCATGTCCATGCATGTAAAGTGGTAGGCCAGTGGAATGCAGAAATTCACCAGGTGCTTTTGGCTGTGAGCAGAGCAGTTGTGCAGGGTGGTGCCATGGAATGTCCGGAGCCTGAGGTGATGCCACCGACCGAAGTTCCGGTCTGGAAGCCGTTGCCTCCCTTGCAGGTGCCGCACTTGGCCACACGCTGGTATGGGGATGACGTTGTGCGGTCTATTCTTAGTTGGTTTTGGTCAGCACTGTTTTCATTTGAGGAAGAGGTGCGATGGATCTCCCATTTTCAGCTTTTTATTGACTACACAGCCTCCTCTGGCGAAGTAGGACCTGTACACTTTGACACCTGGCGAAATGGTTCGACTGTTGAATGTCAAGGTTTGCGCAATTCTGGCTTCAAAGAAAGAACGCGATGGTTCATCAAGGTGCTCAAAGAAAGCATCCGGCACTTGCATATTGACCTTGCCTACAAGTATTGTTGTCCTGCCAGTTCTATGTTGGCGATGCATACAGGGTGCATTGCCCTACCATGGCCACGGTGGCGCCTAGATCTGGTGGATAAGTACCTGTTTAAGTTCTCTTGCAGTGCCTTCCGACGTCAATCTAAGGCCCTGGATACGATTCCTGTTGCACCAAGGTTTTACGAATTTCCGAGGTTGTTTGTCTCTTTGTGTTGAAGAGCGCTCTAAAGAGGGCCGCTTTCGCTAGACCAAAGCGGCGCGAAATTGAAATGGAGAAATGGTGGTTTGGAACATTTTTTATGTTTCCATAACATATGGAATAATCTTTCCCAACATGGTTAAAACCACCAACCAGTCATAGTTTTGAAAGCGTTGAGCAGTCGAGCTGACACAGCCGCGTTTTGGACCTTGGAGATACCTTGGAGCTATGGGAAAAAACATCACCAGCGTTTCATCTCTTTTGGCCTCGTCTCCCAGTACCCCCCGAACGTTCGGGCCCATCAAAGTATCGGGCCTATCGCATCAGCGTTTTGGCCAATTTTTCAGCCCAGTTCTTGATGTTCTTCTTGCTTCAATTTAGATAATTCAGTGAAATCCTAATGTTTGCTATAGTTACTACTAGTTGTTTCTGGTTTACCCTCCGGTAATTTTCAACATGGGCAGTTTTAGCATCCGTCATGGATCGTTCGATGATTTTCGCGAACGAAATCTCCGAAAAAATCCCAGCTACAGTAGCCATGTTTGAGAAAAAAAAACCAGGTCTTTCTGCGTCATTTTTTTTGGGTCCAAAAAATCGTGGAATCTGCAGAATCCCCATTTTTTGCCGGCCCAGCTGAAGCCCGCAAAGGATGTTGGAGTTGGATGAGCGAGATACTCAAGAATACACCATCCCCAATTTTGCGAGACGTATCCCAGTGGAGGTTTATCATGAGGAATAACAGAAGTTTAATAGTTTAAAAGCTTCCACTGTGGGCTATCTGATGTCATGTTGTATCCCAATCATATTCCAATGATTCCAATGAACCAATGAATATCTCATGAAATCCCCCGTTTAGAGGGTTAAATCACCATGACGTCTGTTCTTTTCACTGTGGCACGAATCTGTGTAGGAACGCGGACAGCGGGGCAGTGAACACCGTGGCTGCCATGATGCGTGGGGAGGTGCGAGAATGGATGGAACACCGTTTCACGGTCCGAACAGTGGCTACGGAAGTGGCTGCTGGAGATGCAGTGGCATCTCCAACACCCTCTGGTAAACATGTTTAAAAAACTATGGAAGATCATATTATTATTATTATAAACTATGGAAGATCATAATATAATAATAAAAAACTATGGAAGATCACCATGCTATGGGCAAATCAACTATTTCCACTGGGCCATTTTTTCGCAACCTGTTTTTACCTGGTCGACCTGTCAGTTTGAGGGTGCCAAGAGTTGTAGGAGCCCATCATGGCTGGATTTTACGAAGCGACGAATTGTTTTGTGTACCGCTTCGTCATGTTTTGCGGATGTATATGGATATATATATATATATATTTAATTATATTTAGATGCTGGTTAGTAACTTAGTTTAACTGATTTGGTTTGTATATACAAACCAAATCAGTTAAACTAAGTTACTAACCAGCATCTAACCAGCATCTCACCATCTATACCATCTAACCGGCCAGAATTTAGACGTTCAGACGTCAACATGATGGGCTGCTCCTATGACTTGTAGGTGGCGATTCCTGAGGGCGCTCCACGGGAACGCACCGAACCCTGGGAGGCGCGGAAGATATCCAGTTCTGTGACATATTTTTAGGAAAATCATCATCTTTAGTAGGTAAATCAACTATTTCACTATGGGCAATTTTTTTTTATAGCTATGTTAAATTACCAGAGGGTTAAGTGACAATGAGTATTCTGAGAAATTCTATGATACTTTTTTTTAATGATTATACCCAGTTAATACTTATGGATGAAGTGGAGTATTCTGGAAATTTCACACTTTGCGAACTGGACATGAGCATGTTAAATGGCCCATGGCTTCGGAAAGTCATGGAAACTGGTGCCGGAGGCTGGCTTCGGAAAGGGACCATATGGGACCTTTTGATATCCATAGAATCTCATGAGTTTGATAAACCTGACATGAAACCTGAACATGACATACACCAACATACATATGTCATATGCACAGTCTGTATATGTCTGTATATTGTACAGTCTCACATGTGCCAACTTTCCAAATATGTCGTCGCACAATGTCGCACATATCCTCATTCGCAGGTTGGGGTCAGTCTCCACCTTAAGCATTCAGCATTTGGGATGGTGGTGAATGTCTGATCTCTCGTTGTCACCCCGCATTGTCTCTTGAAGCCCATGGTGAAGGTGAAACCTGTGGCAGCTCCTCTAGAGGCCCATGAGGTCCGAAAGATGGAAAAGGAGGTGCCGGAAGTCACAGCCGGGATGGCGAGTTGTTGTTATGTTTTTTTTCTGGATTAAAAAAAAGTTTTGGATTTGGATCTTAAAAACATCAACGTTGTTTGAGTCCGTTGAGTCAGTTGAGTCTGTTTCTTGGTGGCTGAAAAAGAACGGGATATTTTCCAGCTGGAGTCCATGGAGATTTGGTAGTAAACCTGCCATAAACAGTAAGCAGTAAGCAAGCATCCCGTTGCTAGGCTATACCCAATCGAATCAAAGCCGAGGCTGGGTGAAACTGGTGAAACCCCATAAAGTTTCACTATTGGCATAAAAACCCTCTGGTAAACGTTTACAAAAAGCTATGGAACATCATCATTTTTCATGGGTAAATCCATTATGAATATTTATAAATGGCCATTTTCAAGTTCGCAAACTGTGAATGTTTACCAGGCCGGGTACCCTCCGGAAATCAAACTTGCCTTGCAAATTTATCCCACCATCGTTTTCCAGCGACCAACACCCTCCATTTCCGGCCACGGGGAGTAGCGGATAGATTTCACATGATTTCACCATAGGACCGCCGCGGGGGGCGCCATATCCCAACAAACCTGGGGGGGTTGTAGCCATTGTTATACCCATTTCTAACCTAAAAACTGCACCCCAAAGCTGGGACTTTAAAAAAAGGATTCCGATTTTGACCCGGAGGACAAGTGAAAAACATGGACTGCTTTGTTGTGATTTAACCCTGATGTTGGAAGCGCAAACTCGGCTGATTGGTTTCAAATATGTCTCCGGCAACATAAGTACAATGTTTTAGTAATTTCCCATGCATGTTCCCATTCGTTTCCCATCAACGCCAAGAAAATCCCCGCGTTGCCGTCGATCCTGCGAGGCCAAAAAGTTGGCTGAGCAGAAAGAGAAGGCCGAAGTTTTTTCAGTTTGGCGAACTATGAACTGGTTTATCCAGTTATAATATATATATAATATTTAATAATAATAATGATAATAATAATAATTATAATATATATAATAATAATAATATATATAATAATAATTAATAATAGTAATAATAATACTAATAATAATAATATATAATAATAATAATATATAATAATAATAATAATAAATAATAATAACAATAATAATATATAATAATAATAATAACAATAATAATAATAATATATTGTATAGTGTAGGGTAACCCTAGGTCCACCGGTCAATGATCATTTTCCCCATGTAAACCATTGAAATGGCGGTTATTTATTGGGTATACCCCCAATTTTTCAGACACACCCATATCTTTGTTCATTAAAATGGGCATTTATTATTCTAAGTCAATGTGGATCCGAAGCTGGGACCAGATCTATCAGGGTTTGTCTCGATATACGGTACGTCCAAATCTTGTGGTTTCTCATCATTTGTTCCCATCATATATTTTTTTCCGTATAACCCCATTGTCAGATACACCAAACATTGGATATAGTTGGTTCTATATTCCTGAAATGGGGCCTAGGCCCTAGTTATCATCCAGAAAAGGATGTTCCATCATAAACCATCCATAAATAGGGGTACCCCCATATCTCCAAGTATCCATTTATGGAATCTCGCCATGAAATGCACCATCTTTTGTTAACGAAGTTTAAAGGATTTTAAAGGGCCCAGGAAGTCGCCAAGCCCGGAGGAAGCCAAAGAAAAGCATCAGCAAGCACTTAGGCCTGGTCGGTTTTGTGATGTGGGGCTCAAAATGTAGGCCTTGAAAAACCGCATCCAGTGAATTGGGGAAATGTGGGTAAAACAAGGTACACAATGCCATACACCATCCCCAAGTTCACCATTTTTAGAGGTGGTAGAAACCATTGCCAGTCATGGCTGGTAAAAATGGCATTGTTTTACCCACATTGCTTTGACCCATAGCCGCTGCCGTGTGTTTGAGACTTCCAGTGATTCCAGTGCTACAGCAGGGAGCTGGTGCAAGATGAAAAGGACGCCAAGAAGAGGCGCGCTTCCGTGGTTCGCTTCGGCGTGTGAAGCAACAACGTTATTGGGGATGATTGGTTATAATGTGGGTAAAACATGGTAAAACCATGCCATACACAATCCCCCCCAAATCACCATAAATAAGTGGTATAAACCATTACCAAAATAGGTTACAATATGAGTTTCTAATGGTAAAATAGTATAAACTAGTGCATTGCGGGCGCCCACGAGGAACACTAATTGAAATCCGCCACTCGCCCCACTCGCCCCACTCGCCCTACTTGCCCTGGGCTAGCAAATTAATTGAAATCCGCCACTCGCCCCACTCGCCCCACTTGCCTTGGTAGGAAAATTAATTGACTTTGGCCACTCGCCCCACTCGCCCTACTCGACCCCACTCGCCCTACTCGCCCCCCTCGCCCTACTCGCCCGACTCGCCCCACTCGCCCGACTCGCCCCACTCCCCCCACTCGACGCACTTGCTGCGGAGGTAAGCAGAGCAAGTGCAAGCTGGGCAAGCGGGGCAAACGGGGCAAGCGGGGCAAGCGGGGCAAGCGGGGCAAGCGGGGCAAGCGGGGCAAGTGGGGCAAGCGGGGCAAGCGTGGCAAGCGGGGCAAGGGGGCAAGCGGGGCACGCGACAGGCCCCATTTTGCGCAAATTGGAGCTCCCACCTGATAAACGATAATAGTCAAAATTACTTTCCTCGAGTGGCCCCGGTCAACTGGCATTCTAGTTGACATATATATACATATATTATATGAGATTCTATCGGGCATTCTTTCTGGCATTCCATCTGCCATATATTTTGAGATTGTATCTGATTATTTTGATATTCTCTCTGGCATTCTATCTGATATTCTATCTGGCATTTTGTCTGAGATTTCATCTGACATACTGCCTGACATTCTACCTGGCATTTTTTATGGGAGTCTATGTGGCATACATTCTGACATCCTATCTGGCATTCTTGCGGGTCTGTGTTTCCAGATGCATGTTTCCCACTTGCAAACATTGGCTCTATCTGGTGGTGCCACTTGCCACTGTCAAGATTAGCGGCCCTTGGCTTACCTGTGCTCTCTGAGCCGGGCTGTCGATGGTATCTCGAGCATACAAAAGTACAATCACAAGGATGTATGTTATTTACCCGTACTTGGTTAGGCAGTGGGCCGTATGGAAATATAGAGATTTGGTACAGTGGTTCGAACCAAGCCAGTAAGTAGCGACGCAAAGTGTGCTGGTGTATATAATGTCTTGAGCTGTAAATTGCAGATTCTGTTTGTGATTGGGACATCTTGAAGTCAACAGCGAGATGTCAGGAACTAATCTCCTGGCGACAGGAATTCATCATTTGTACCGTTACCACGACTGCCCTATTTGGAGTCGTTTTTTTTGCAGTTTATCTTCACGCTCATGCCCGGGGCCGGGGTTGAATTTGGTGGAGTGATTGTGTCTTTGCGGGCAGGATCGGCATTGAGAGATAATGTGAACTTTAGAACCTTGATTTCGAATCTTGTTGCTTGTTTCAGATGTTTCCGAAAAATTTCGTTTTGAGTCATGTCAGCTTTAGACGCTGCGCACTTTTCGGCTCAAGAGAATCTCACAGAGACGGGTCAGTGAAACTGGCTCATTCCTGATAGCGCGCATCCATCGCCGGACCAGCGCGCATCTTCATCAAGCTGTTGTGAAGTTGCCAACTTCTGGTAGTCGCCGGGCTACTGCGGAACTTTGCCAGCACTTGCTTCCACGGCCATGCATGGCTTGGGAATATACTTTTGATTAATGCTGGGGGCTTTAGCTGCTCCCCGATGATTTCAGATCAGCTGTCTCAAGGGCCAGGAAACGATTCAGCTTCGTTCGAAAAGCGCAGAAAAAGCCGGCTGGCTTGGTTGTGGTCTGTGTCATGCTGCATACTGCCATTACTTCAAAACCACTCACCTGATTTTCGATTTTTTCCCAGTTTTCCAGGTTCGCAGACCGCGCTGCAGCTGTACTGCACCATGGTGTCCTTGTTTGCGTCAAACACCTTCTCATCTCATTTTGTTTTTCTCGATTTTCCTGGTTCGCAGTCCTTGCAGCAGCTGTGCTGCATCATGGTTTCCTTGTTTGCATCAAAGTTGCAGTGCCATGTTGAATGTGCCTATTTGCAACTGTCGCTCCCGTTGTGCTCAAGTTGATCGCCTGAGCTACTGTTGTCCACCTGTGCTCTCCGAGCCGGGAAATTGACTTAAACAAATACATTCGCTGCATTGGCCGCCATGGAAGCGCAAGACATAACTGCGGTACTGCCCAGTAGGGAAACAGCAGACTGTCACGCTAGCAGTATCAGCCAAGGTTCAGGAACTCAAAGAGATTTTGCAGCGATGATATGATTCCTGGACGCGCGAGGTGCGGTGTTGCGGGTCGATGATATGATTCCTTCGGCTACAAGCGCACACTGCGTTACATGTGTCGCGCGTTTCCCTTGTCTCGCTTCAACCTGGAAAGCCTTTGCTCTGTGGTGTCACAATGACCGTGTAGTGATGGGGGCATCCTGCCTACGGCTCCGACAGCTCTGGTGTGTGCAAGCGCCTGCGCAAAGTGGTGCAGATCGTTGCCAGCGGCCGCGCTTTTGCCGCAGTGACATCATACGGATCTGTTGTTACCTGGGGCTTGCCGAAGATGGTTGCTGACAGGGCAATGGTACGGCAGCAGCTCTATGATGTGAGAAGCGTGACTGCAGCTGCCCAGGGCGCATTTGCCGCCCTTCGTCATGATGGGTCTGTCGTCACCTGGGGTCCAAGCCAAATTGAAGGGAGTGACGCAGATTCACAGCACGCATACTGCATTCGCTGCCATTGGGGGGAAGTGATCCGCCACCTCCTCGTGGTTCCCCCGGGCCCCCTTCCGTGCGAAGGGGAGGCGAAGTTTAGCGGATCCGGCAGTACCTATGTCGTTAGCACCCTGTATGGAGATTTGGCACCTCTTTGGATGCACGAGGGAGAGGCTTTGGCAGCACCTCGACGGCAGCCTTCGGGTACTGCCGGGCTTCTTTGAAGCCATGCCCGTGCCACCTCTGATCGATAATGGAGGGAGAAGTGCCTGTGGAAGTGGGGCGGTGGCACTTCGCACCACCTCGGCGACATGCTGGACGGGTGGTTTGAGCACAGCACTCGGTGGGTGACGAGTCGTTCTGAGGGCTTCTGCCCGCGGGGCGTAATTAGTTTCAAGCACATCAATTAGTTTGAGCACACGACTGCTTTGCATGTCGATCCATATTCAAGAGAGGCCTGGTCACCGAATTCTCTCGCTCTGACCAGCGTTATTTTCTAAGAATTTGCGGTGTTGCCACCTGTGCTACCGCCTTAAGAATATTTTTATTTTGGTGTCAGTGTCATGCTTTCTTGCATGGCCTGTGCGCCTTTGCAATCAGGGCCCCCCCATTCGCTGCCATTGTGTTGGATGGGTCCGTGGTTGCTTGGGGAGACCCCTAGTAATGGAGGAGACAGCTCGATGGTCCAAGACCGACTTCAAGGCATTGTGAATGTTCAGGGCAACCCTTATGCATTTGCAGCTGTCACGGAGGAAGGGTCGCTTGTCACCTGGGGAAAGGCCACCTTGGGGGGCGATAGTTCTGTGATACGAGAAAGTCCGGCAAGTCACACCCTCTTTGAAAGGGTTCTTTGCCAATGCTGACGGATGTCAAGTTCATACATGGGTCTGCCAAAGAGTTTGCAGCAGTGCGCTACAATGGATCCATTGTTACATGGGGAGCGCAGGACGGAGGCGGGGACAGCTCCGCAGTGCAATCTGCGATTGCCACTTTCTAGTTGCAGTGGCCATTAATGTTGCTACTGCAGCTGCGGCAAAATTAGACATCTTCACAAACTTGGACATATGGTATAGACAAACAGGCCTGCGGAACAGCCTGCTATGGTGTAAAAATTTGCGATGGGAAGCTGGGCGCAATGGTAATCTAGTGGTCGAAATAGTCGGGACATCCTCTCAATCCCTCAGATGCACTGTCCGCTGCAGCTGCCCTGCATGCTCAGAGAACTTCATGCTTTTTAACTACAGTGTGGTGTAGCATTTGCTTGTTTGCGCCTATCTTCATCCGTTGGGCTCAAATTTAGGCACCTGCGCCAGTATTGTCAACCTGTGCTCTCCGAGCCGGGCGATTGACGTAGACATCGTGACATTGAGCTGATATGTAGATGTACGTGTTCATGCTGTGAACAAGATCATCATTGTCATTTACAACCTTGTAGCTCTCCTTTGAAACCATGGCCGACGAAGCGCAAGCGACTCGGCGAGCCTTCACCATTCAGGGGCCGCAGGTTGCCTTAGCTATGCTGCGAGGTTCCAAACGCATAGAATCTCGGAAGAGGCGGATGGCAGCTGGCTGGTACTATTTTCACGTGGGCCGTTAGTCAATCAACAGCTTGCCCCCCGAATGTTCGGCCGCCTTGCGCCAGACATGGCCGGATGCGCCAGAGGAAGCTTCTTTGTCCAAAAGTTGCGTGGTTGGGATGGTGTGCCTAGGGAAGGTGATTCAAGCCAGCAAGGTTGAAAACCCATGGGTCTGTGCCTCCTTGCCGTTGGTCCCCGAGATTGTTGCCATAGAGTTCAGATCCCCAGTTCGATGGGAAAAGGGGAAGCAAGTTGTCTGGCATGTCAAAGAAGGAGAGATGCAAGGGAAGCTGAAGGAAGCAACCGCCTCTGGGATTCCTTGTGGCCAACTGCAGAAGATGAGGGACCCGCTGCCAAGCGCCAGAAGCTCACACAGCCGCCTTGGAAAAGCAAGAAGCGGAAGCGCCGTTCTGACGCTGGGAACACCGGCAGTCCGGCTCAAGTTTCCTTCACAGCATCCAAGCGTCGCCGGCTGCTTCTTCGCAGCCCTTTGCAAAAGCCGAAGTTGGCTAAAGCACCAGCATCAGAAGCCTTGCAGGCCAGCACAAGCCCGCAGAGGGGACCTGACCGTTGCAGTCTTGCCCAACGGGTGGCAGCAGGAAGGACGTTGGAGCTGCTGACAACACTGATGGCAAAGTCACACAGTTGCAGCCCAGAGGAGGTCTCTTTGCTTTCCGGGACGATCAGCCAGTGTTCATTCTGAGTGTACGGACAAGCAGAAAAATTCCTTTGGCTGATGTGGTTCCATTGAAGCAGGCAACTTTTCAAGGACGAACCGTCCTCAAAGCCAAATACACAGAGACCCGCACATGCAGATGGAGTGAGCTCAAAGATGTCGGCTTACATTTCCAGATTGCCAACTGTGCGAATGATCGCCGTGGAGCGAGTGGCTTGGCCTCGATGATTTTTTTTGTAACATGTTGCCATCCTTTAAAGAGAGACCCGCAACAGATTGTTTTTATGTAGCCTTGCATGCCTAGGCTTGCCGTTCCAGAAGCAACCGGGGGAAACACAAGGAGATCAAGGCAGAGCTTTGCGCGAGAATGCAGCTTTGGCAGCTCGCTGGCAGGCTGGCAATGCAGAGCTAGGTTTGGCCACTTCATGCACAGTTGATCACTCGGTGCGATCCGTTGTGCCAGTGCGTTTGCGGGCGCACCTGGCCGAACGAGCTGCTTCAGGTATTACCCATCACGCGGCCCCACGCGCAGATGAGAGCCGTTCCTTTTGGATTCCGCGACTGAATTAGTTCTGTCTACCTGTGTTCTCGGAGCCGGGCAATGTCAGGACAGTATATCATTGAGTCATTGAATCTATTAATGCAACACAATCACACACAAGCAGCATCAGAGTCACCCTTTTAAAGCCTCTAGCCCTATGTTAATGGCAACGCAGCGCCCTTTCTGCTGACGCCGCAAGATGCCTGCCCCCGGTGATGCTGGGTATGGAATTTGGCTGGACAATTTTTATTGTGGTGTGCGATCCATGGCTCCGTTTGGTGTGTGGCTCCCTTGGCAGGAGGGTGTGACCTTAGCTGCAGCCTTTGGCTTCACAGAGAATGTATGCTTTGAATGCGCTGACACCTGGTTGCAGCTGGATGCTCTGGAATTTGACCCTCCAAGGCGGTCTGGAGATGGCAGCGGCCGGGCAGATGTGCAGCGGATTCGCTTGCTCTACAAGCGTGATTTACACGGAGATGATGGGCTCGTTATAGTTTCCTGTGACGAGGAGGATGTCATCTCCCCGCAGCATGCTCCACCAAACGTATGTAGACGCTGGCGTTCAGGTGCATTAGGGCCCATTGCGGGTGTTGAAGTTGACCTTGCATTGCCGCGGGCGCTGGATGAGCAAAATGTTCGTCTCTTGCTTGTCTATACTGGCACCTGTACAGTCAAGTTGATCAAGAACGTCCGCCTGAAAATTTGCCGCCTGTGGGTCTCAATGGCACGGACGATATTGTGCTCTCAATCGCAAGAAACTTCCAGAAAGCAGTCCTTTTGTACACTAGGCCAAGCAGTTTTTGATCATGTCGCGAGGTTAAAAAAATTCGCTGCGCGCTACAGAAGTGTTGAAACTGAGAGATGTGGAGGGCATGTGAACATTTTCACATTGTTCCGGCTGTCCACGCAGCGCAGTATGCATGAGAGCCAGTTTGGTTGCATGGAGTCGATATCACGCTTGGGACTGCAAAGGCAAATCCGACAAATATGACCATGATACCACGCATTGACAAGTGCTCTCCGGTACCCAAGCCGCGCCATCAAGTTCAAGTTGTAGGAGTTAGCTTCCTAGACATGGCCACGTGTGAAGTTTGTGGAGATGGTTTCGCAGACGATGCGGAAAAACACTTGTGCTCCCCGAGCCGAGACTCTTGCTCGCACGTGTGCCACGCGGATTGCTTGCAGCAATACCGATTAAAGCAGGGCTGCCCTATGCATGACTGCCCATTCTGTCTTCAGAATGAAGATTCCCAGGAAGAGGCTGATGATGCCGCTTTGCAAGAGATGGAGATTGAGGCAGCAATGGAAGCAGAGGCTGTGGCTGAGGGGGTAAAAAGAAAGACCAGAGAAGAGGCAGCTTCGCCTGTCCGTGCGGGTGGGGGCCCAGCGGGCAAGAAGTTAGCAACCAACGCAAGCCCGCCAGCAGGACAACGCAGCCCAGTGCCGCCCACCCAAAGAAAGCCCAGAAAGCCCTCCCTTCACACAGGGTGGAAGTGAAGCAGCCCGCTTGTCCATTCCAAGCTTTGGGATTGACATCTACGACGACCTGAGTCGGACCAGCAAGGCATCTACCACGGTGAAGGATCCTATGCACGACGCCATGTCGGAGTACTTGGCTTGCAGGGATGAAGCACAAAGCCTTTCGTTGCTTCACACCAAGAGCACATATCAAGGGCTTGGAAGCCCAGAGGCTTCTTATCAAACCGTTCTGAATGCAGCCTTGAAAGACCCCAGGGACCACCACGCTGTGGCATCAGACTTTGCCTTCAGAACTCGAGAAGTGCTGCCCGTGCCTTTCGAAGTCAGCTTGAGAACCATTGCCCGCAAGGAAGGTTGTGAGCCTGAGACATTCATGGCGCCGATCCTCAGCAACATTGGTTGGATGGAGCATCCATGCAGGCACGCGGCTTCGATTGCAGCCTGATGAGGAGCACCGACGTGGCTGCGTAGTCCAGATTGTTTGCGCAGGTGACCCCAGCATGCGCAAGAGTTATTTGAAGGATTTTACCTGCAAAAAGCTTCTTTCCCATGCAGATGTCCCTGCTGTCATCAAGGCAGGTGGCGCCACATGCACGGATGCCACCATCAAGGGTCTTCGTGCTTCTATCAAAGAATATGCCCGAGCTGGCATCATTTCGGATGAGATTGCCACAACAATATGCCATGACATCCGGGAGGGAGACCCGACACTCAGGTCTGCATTACGGCAACAAAGAAAAGATGTGCACTTGGCTGAACTGCGAAGATGACAAGACAGTGACTGGAGATGGTGCCACGGCGCTGACTCATTACACCTTCGTTCACCAAGTGTATGGACAGGTGTCGCTTTGTGAGTATGTGCTCCAGCCGACTGCAAGCATGTTTTGCAAGAGAATCCATGCGACGTGGCAAACAAGGCCAGTGACAAGTGACCCTGATCAGCAGAGCCAGTCCAGCAAAGAGTTCCTGATTGACTTCTTTGGTTGGATGGGGCGCGTGGCAAGCAACCAGGACAAAGACCACTATTTTGACAAGTTCGCCTTGCCCGTGCTCAGGAAGGCTTTGCAGGGAATCTCCGACTTCTTTCACGAGAATCACGAGAATGTAGAGGAACCAATCTAACAGAAGCTACGCTATGCTGACACAGATGTGGCTCGGTACGCTAATGCAGCCATGCGTTGCAGGCAGTATTCTGAGGCCCGAGCGCGTTGGCCCTTGATAGGATCATAGATGAGTTTGCCGTTGAGATGACCATCTTCGATTTGGGACATGCCTTGCATATCTGGCGTCGCCAAATGTGCTTGTGGTTTGCCTTCTATCGCTCCAAGCAAGTCCAAGCCTTGGTAGGCCCCAAAGCAGTGCCAGATGTCAAGCCCCCAGGACTTGCAGATTTGGATGCCAAGGTGAAATTGCAGCGAGTCATTCTGTCCAATCCTCGATGCGCTGGTCCAACCTCCACTGCGCACATTCGCTCTGTTCTGAAGTACCACTTTCACAAGGAGAAAGAGGAAAAACCAGCAAAGTTCGTCTTGGCAGCAGTCAAAGACCTCTTGAAAGTTGGCATCTTGCAAGAGGTTGACAAGAAGGAAGTGGAAGAACAGGCGCCCAAACTTAAGGACAAGAAAAGCGCCAAGAGCAAGGAGGGCACGCTAAAGAGCGAGCCACGAGGCCCGCCAGGTGGCCACGCTGTCCTGTACTACCAGACATGTGCCTGGGAGGGCCTTTTGACTAATTCGGAAGCTCAAGACATGATTGCCAAGCTTCAACTGAGTGCCAATGATTTCAAGTAGGATTCCAGAAATACGAGGTCTTGCACGGTCCCATGTCTAAACTGTCAGCCCAAAAAAAGAGTGACAATGTGCTCCAAAGCACTTGTTGTATATAAGTCTTGTTTCCAAAGATACGCGTCAATAATGGTGCGATTCCTCGAAATTAAGCTCTGCTTTCTTTCCAGCCCGAGCGTGTTCCTGACCCTACGAGGTGAATGCTTTCAATCAAGACTGTATGGTGGCTGCAACATATTGTGCGTCAATTTCAATCAACCCACCCATTTTCATGACAAGACATTGTGGTGTGAAGATCTTGCATAGTGGTTCATCATGGTGTCCAAAGCCACATTCAAAACAGTCTGCTTGGCCTTCTAGTGTTCAATCGTGTGCGCTGGTGGCATGAGATTGACAAAGGCCCAATCTATTCTTTTTGAGGCAAAGCGGACAGCCAACACCGCGGCTCCAAAATAGTTTGTGCGGCGCATATGAAGCCACTGTTCGCTGAACATAGCCGTTCGAGATGTTGAAGCAAGACACATGTTTTATTTGTTCCTGATCAAGTCCAAGAAAGAATTGAAACTTGCACCTGTTTATTCTGTTTTCTACCATTTCTGTTTTCTACCATCCTTTCCGACTGCGATATAATTTTTCTGCTTCATGGGGGAAAGAAGACTCACGGGAGTCCTGTCCACACCGACCATGTCGCTGACTCCTGCGTCTGCAGGTGCCGATGCTAAGTGGCACCATGACAATGGCTTCTACCTTAGGGATTCAGCAGATGCTGATGCCAGCATGCGTGATGTTGGTACGCAATCAAATAGAGATGGCACAATAGTCCACTCCTCACTGTGACCATCGGGTCTGTGGTCCCGCGGGGCACGTGCACTGCGCGTCGGTGCGCATTCCCGGAATGGCTGGAGGTTGCTTCCGGTGATGCTTGATGCTTAATGTCACATTGGTGTCATGTAATGTTCAACGCAATTTTTCTAGGACATGTTTAAACATAGTCGATCTTTGTTTGGTCTCATACAGACCTTGTACAAAAGGATCTTGCACAGCAGCGTCTAGAAAGAACCTGTCAAGGAGATCTTGCACACGTCTTCTACAAAGGGAACTTGCAGAATCCAATCTGGTATTGATGCCACGGTGTTTGGAGTCGCCACTTAATCCCCGTCGGCCGCTCCACTCGCCCCACTCGCCCCCCTCGCCCCACTCGCCCCATTCGCCTCACTCGCCCCACTCGCCCCACTCGCCCCACTCGCCCCACTCGCCCCACTCGCCCCCCGCCCCACTCGCCCCACTCGCCCCACTCGCCCCACTCGCCCCACTCGCCCCACTCGCCCAAACATTCCATTCACGTTACCACCTCTATTCCTTTTTCATACTGCTGTGTGGTGAAACCAAAGCAAGCAGGGCAAGCGGGGCAAGCGGGGCAAGCGGGGCAAGCGGGGCAAGCGGGGCAAGCGGGAAGAACCACCGATCTTCCCTCGGCTTGCAAGTAGGGCAAGCGGGGCAAGCGGGGCAAGGAGGAAGATTCACTTATTTTCCCTAGAAGGGGAGCAAGCGGGGCAAGCGGGGCAAGCGGCAGAAATCACTTAGCGGCCCCGCGGGGCACCCACACTGTCCTCTTCACCCCTTTGTCCGCTAGCACCTTATCTTCAGACAAGAATGAAGGTGTTGAGCGGAGGCAGAGATGGAAATGTGAAAGGGCCGAGAGGGGGAGAGAAGAGAAAAAGTTGCGGAGAAGTGAAAAGGCAAGGGAAGAAGCCCAAGAAGTGGATCAAGCAAAGAACGTACTCGTAATAAATAGGCATCGTTTTTGTATCAATTTTTGGCAACCTTCTTCACCCTTCACTCCACCCTTCATTCCACCCTTCACTCCACCCTCGGCCCGCCCTCGCTTTCCGGTACAGAAAAGCAATGAAAAGCATGCACTTTACACTGCCTGAGAGGCAAAGTGCCTTAGTCCATCCTATGTATGCTTTGTAATGGCACTGCTGCTTTTGGATCATGTCTACAGAGAATTTCCCACAGAAAGTAGACAGACTTTTCATTTGTTCGACAATCTCAACTGAACTTCAAAGTAGTTTTGAAAAGAAACGGCTAGATAGATAAGAACGGGGTCAGGATGAATTACTTGCATCTATTTAATGTATATTTTCTTTTTCTCCATCCATTTGCCTTTCGCTACACCCCACCGCCCAACTCTTCATCGTGACCCGCCCATCATCACCCCAACTTCATTTAACTCTCTCCGCTTTCCATCCCTGCTCACTCCTCTCCACACTTTCTGCCCCTAACATTCTTTTCAGAAGAGGTATGATGATATTGAGCGGAGATGGAAATGTAGAAGGGTGAAAAGGGGGAGAGAAGAGAAAAAGCTGCGGAGAAGAGAAAAGGGAAGGAGAGAATTCCAAGCAGTGGATCACGCAAAGGATGTGAATAAATACAATAGATGTATCCTTTTATTTGGTATCAATTTATGGTCATTCTCCATGGTCACATTCTCCACACTCCACCCTTCATTCCACCATCGCTCCACCCTCGCTCCTCCAGCCTCGCATCACCCTAGCATCACCTTCACCCAACCTCTCCAACCATATCCATCCCTTCCACCTACCCTTCCACCAACACCTTTCCACCTACTTCACCCCCTTTCCGCGTCTTTCTCCTTTGTAGGTGGAGAGAGGGGAGGGCAAGAAGCTGTGGAGAAGCGGCGAGGCAAGGCGTAGAGAATCCCAAGAGGTGGGACAGACATTGGCACCTGCAGGAAAGCAATGAAAAGCATACACTTTACATTGCGCGCGAGACAAAATGCCTAGGCCCGCCCTATGCTTCATAATGGCGCCGCCGTTTTGGGAGCGTGTCTAAAGAGAACTATTCCAACGAACATTGGAAATAGCTTCAAAGAGAAACTAGAAGGAAACTGATCTTTGTAAGCAAATTTCAGAAGGAACCGGAAAAGACAAGTTCAATTGGAATTTAAAATATTTTCTAAAAGGACATGTACAAAGGCTAGACAGGCCAGGATAAATATGACAGCAAACTTGAAGGAAATGAACCCCAATTCATTCGTATATCTTCCAATTAATTCGTATATCTTCGGATTTCAAAACCCTAATCCTCCAATACTAAATATAAAATAAATATTTATTTTTCCAAAAAAAAATCTGAACCACAATTCATTCGTATATCTTCCAATTCATTCGTGTATCTTCCAAAAAAATCTGAACCCCAATTCATTCGTATATCTTCCAACTCATTCGTATATTTTCCCCTCCAAAAAAAAATCTGAACCACAATTCACTCGTATATCTTCCAATTCATTCGTATATCTTCCAAAAAGAAATCTGAACCCCAATTCATTCGTATATCTTCAGATTTCAAAACCCTAATCCTCCAATACTAAATATAAAGTAAATATGTACTTTATTTATTAAATGGGCCCAATGTTTTTTTGACCCCTGACCATGTTTTTTTAACCCCTGCATGTTTTTTTAACCCCTGGACACCTGTTTTTCTGACCCCTGGTTTTTCTGACCTCTGACCTTGTTTTTTAAACCCCTTACCCCCCTGTTTTTTTGACCCCTGAGGGTGTTCTCTTGACCCCTTGTCTTGTTTTTCTGACCCTTTCCGCCGCGTCTTTCTCCTTTGTAGGTGGAGGGGGGGGAGGGCAAGAAGCTGTGGAGAAGCGGCGAGGCAAGGCGCAGAGAATCCCAAGAGGTGGGGCAGACATTGCCACCTGCAGGAAAGCAATGAAAAGCATACACTTTACATTGCGCGCGAGAAAAAATGCCTTGGCCCGCCCTATGCTTTATAATGGCGCCGCCGTTTTGGGAGCGTGTCTAAAGAGAACTATTCCAACGAACATTGGAAATAGCTTCAAAGAGAAACTATATAGAAGGAAACTGATCGTTGCAAGCAAATTTCAGAAGGAACCGGAAAAGACAAGTTCAATTGGAATTTAAAATATTTTCGAAAAGGACATGTACAAAGGCTAGATAAGGGTACTGCCAGAATGAATATATGACTGCACACTTGAAGGAAAGCTATGAATGAGGATATCGGATCTTTAGGCTAGATATTCGAAAGGCAATTTCAAGAGAAACTGAGAACAATGATAAAAGTTTGACAGGCACTTGCAAGAAGATGTTCCTCTCCTTTCACCTCACCATACCTCACCCCTCTGCTCGACCCTTCATTATAACCCCGCCCATCACCCCAACTTCACTTAACCCTCGCCGTTTTTCCATCTCTTTTGACTCCTCTCCACCCTTTCAGCCCCTAACATTCTTGGAACAGGAACGATAGGGAGAGAAGAGAAAGCAGCCGCGGAGAACTGAAAAAGGTAAGGGGTAGTGAATTCAAAATGGTGGGAAATGCAAACAATGTGAATAAATATGTATCGTTTTTGGTATCAAGTTTGTGCAACCTTCTCACCCTTCATTGAGCCCTTGCAGCCCTTGCTCGATCTTTGCTTCGCCCTCGCTCCACCCTCACTCCATCCTGGCCGGACCATGGCTCCACTCGGATCCGCCCCGCCCCCCTTTCCATTCACTTTACCACCTACCCATTTTTAGGCCTTTTCACCTCATTTTCAGTTTCTTTCTTCTCTGTAGGTGGAGATGGGGGAAGGCAAGAAGCTGTGGAAAAGCGGCGAGGCAAAGTGCAAAGAAAGAGAGGAAAAGCACAGGTGGACAAATATCAATGGGACACGCATGGGACACACATTGGAACATACAGAAAAGCAATGAAAAGCAGACACTTTAATGTGGCAATCAAAACAAGAAACCAGCACCAAACTCTTCATAATTGGATTGTATAAGCAATCCCCAAGTGTTAGGTTAAGTTCTTTGCCACGTTACATTGCCTGCAAAGCAAAACGCATGGGCCCACCCTCTGCCTTTTAAAATGCGGCCGCCAATTTTGGATCATGTCTAAAGAGAATGATTCCAACGAACGGTGAAAAATAGTTTTAAAGAAACTAGAAGACACTTTTATTGTGATGCTTGAAAGCAAATTTTAAATGGAACCGGAAAAAAGTTCAACTGAAATTCAAATGGTTTTGAAAGAAATTGCTAAATAGATAGAAGAGCAGTCGGGATGAATTGTTTATGTAATGTATGTATCGTATTTTCTTTCCCTCCACCCATCTGCCTTTCATTACACCCCACCGACCAACCCTTCATCGTGACCCTGCCCATCACCCCAACTTCATTTAACCCTCTCCGTTTTCCATGCATGCTCACTCCTCTTCACCCCTTTGCCCGCTAGCACCTTATCTTCAGACAAGAATGAAGGTGTTGAGCGGAGGCAGAGATGGAAATGTGAAAGGGCCGAGAGGGGGAGAGAAGAGAACAAGTTGCGGAGAAGTGAAAAGGCAAGGGAAGAAGCCCAAGAAGTGGATCAAGCAAAGAGCGTACTCGTAATAAATATGCATCGTTTTTGTATCAATTTTTGGCAACCTTCTTCACCCTTCACTCCACCCTTCATTCCACCCTTCACTCCACCCTCGGCCCGCCCTCGCTCCCCGTTACAGAAAAGCAATGAAAAGCATGCACTTTACACTGCCTGAGAGGCAAAGTGCCTTAGTCCATCCTATGTATGCTTTGTAATGGCACTGCTGCTTTTGGATCAGGTCTAAAGAGAATTTCCCACAGAAAGTAGACAGACTTTTCATTTTGTTCGACAATCTCAACTGAACTTCAAAGTAGTGTTGAAAAGAAACGGCTAGATAGATAAGAACGCGGTCAGGATGAATTACTTGCATCTATTTAATGTATATTTTCTTTTTCTCCATCCATT